TACTGTTTCTGCAACCAAACAATTCAGTAATCTCTGATTCCAAGGGAATATTGTTTTTCTTTAATTGATTTGGATGACTAGTACATACTGTACATACTATATTCGCCAACCAGAATTCCATCCACTAGATAAGCAGCTATCTATAATTGTTTTAATAAATGAATGAATAAATAAATACTCAAATCAGTTCCTTATTCTTATACACGTATTGCATGATTAATAGGTTGATTCCCTCCCTCCCCCCAGTAGGGTTGTAAAATTAACATTAAGTCAAACTTGCAAATTTTAGCCTTGCAGTTTGGCACAGGACCATTTTAAAGCTACAGTAGGTGGTTCCCAAATTATAATGATCATTTGTTTTGCAAAATTAGAAGTTTTGTTCATGCAGCTAAAGTTTTATCCAACTGCATGTGAAAAATAATCCATCAATTTGGTTCTCCATATGAGAATTTAGTCACAGACATTCTGCGTTATGGCTTTGAACGCCATACGATTTGATGCGTTGGCAGCAATCACTCCACTAAGGTCAAATGGGAAAAGTCCTTGGAAACTCACTCTCCACACACATGGGACAAATAAATTAATGTATGTATTAAAATACTCTTAACATAAATCAATTCTGAAATATCCTGGGGGATATTTAGAAAAATTGTTTAAATTTTTAAAACAATATAGCATTTCAAGAAATGACAGAGTAGAGAGAGATAAGACGACAGTATGAACAAGTGAAAGATGGTTTCTGCAAGAGTGCTGGTTCTTGGGTGAAAGTTAATATGTTTTTGTGCATCTGGGTCACAACAATCTGGATACATCTCATGCATTTCATGATGAACAATGTCAAACAGTGAAATTGTTATTAAAGCAAGTAGGACAATATAGACAGTATTCAACCATTGGAAAAAATCCTTGATATGATAGGAATGTGATGGTATATATCAGAGCAAAACTATTAGCATTCCTGATTATCTGTATAGATGCTCTTGAACAAAAAAGTGGTGGGAAGGATTACTACCTTAGGTGTGTATGCTTACTGTTTTGCATTTTGTGGAACCAGAATTACTGTTTCTATGTATGAAATGCCAGAAACTTGTTACAGCTAAATTACATTGCTCTTATCTTCCTGGCGTATTAAAGTGACATCACTTTAACAAAAATTCAGGGAGAATTGTAGTCACAAATACATATAAATAAGGTACAAGTGTAAGTTATACAGCCATATTCATGGAAATAATTACTTTCTGCTGCACTTGCTTTTGTTACACACTCAAATATGCATTGAAAAAAATATATTGTATATATGCAGCTTAATCCCCAAAAGGATTTTAGCTTGGTGTATACAAAAATTAGGGTCACAATATAATATAGTGTTTGTACACCATGCAGAAAGTAAAAGTGATGTATTTCCTGTCCTGATTTCCTATTAATAGAAAGGAAAGATGAAATGCGTTTTAGGATAGTTAAAGGTAATAAATAATCCTGAGAGGTTCAGTAAGGTTAATTAGATAATGTCAATTAGTGAAGAAAAAGTAAGTTAATAGTATGTTAGAAGACGGAAGGTTGTCTTTATTTTAAATGATGTTTCTTTATTAAGAAACATCATTTAAAAAATACAACCAGCAAGAAGGGGTTTGCCCTTGAGTCTGATGGGATATACAGTTTTGCCCAAAAACCAGTGTGCAAAACTGGGTGTCTTTCAACCTTTACTATTTCACATGGAAACTTTCATTCATCTTATATACAGAACTCATACAGAAGAAATGTTATTAGCATTTCTGAATTTTGTTCACTTAGTTTCATGGTCTGAATCCTTTCTTATATCCAGTCTCCAGCACTGATTAAAACCATCATCAGTATGTTCTACTGATATTATGCTGGGGAAAAAAAAAACATTGCAAAGCCTATTCTAAATAGTCAAAATAGCCACCCATTAAAACTGTATACTTTTTGTTTAATATAATTTGGGTATCATTTTGAGAACAATAATCTAATGAGATAGCTGCATGTCATGGAATCTCTGATCTTGTCTTAAAGGGGTGAAAACATAATGAACATTAACACAGTTAAGGGTGATTGATTTTCATAAGTCACTTTAAAGTTGCATTGTTTATGCAATAACATAAATAAAAATGTACAGTAAAAAAATCACAGTAAGAAACACAAAACTGAATAGTTCAAGCAAACTTTGTAAAAGACACAGACAGAAAAAAGGCTTATTCTGATGCAACTGGGGAGGGGGGGAGGGATTAATTAATTCATTAGCTGCTGTGTATACCTGCCCTCTCAAAATGACTCAGAATGTCTATGTCACATACCTAAACTGAGATTCCTAAATTGCATTTTTTAAAAATGTAAATCCAAAGCAAAGACTCTGGATTAAGCAACCAGCTTGGTCTACTAGTCACAGTGGGAAATGGAATACATTTCTATTCAAAAATGGGTCTCACCATGGGTAGAACTTCCAAGTTATATAATTTGCAGTTTTAGACAGCAACACTATGGATGAAACAGTTGACAATTGGGAAAATGTCATTGCATCCAGAATGATAAATACATATTACAGTCTTACAAATTTATAAGGCACCAAACCAACAGTATGCAGCATCATTGTTGGTAAGCATGATCATGTCTTTATTACTTATAACTCTTAAGTTTATTTTCATCTTACTGTGTGTTTTTTTACAATAAGTCTCCTAGAATCTAGGGTAAGATGGGATGCAAACTGGAACAACTAAGTAAGTAAATATGGGCACATTAGATTCTGGGTCAACCTCACAGGACAATTATTCTATCAGCCTTTTAGTGGACCACCACATATAACTGGAAGCCATAACAGGTTTTGCTGTGTGTTGCATCAAAATAAGTCAGAATCAATCACATGTATGTATGCAGTACGCAGTAGATATGCATAAGTGTATGTAATTGTCACAAGAACTGGTGATGGAGGAAAAATAGTGTCGAGCACTCAAAAAATAAACCACACATATTAGCATGCTAGCATAGCTGAAAGCAAACCCTTTTCTTGCTCAGTAGATTTCTTGAAGAAAAAGTTGAAGAAGCTTCATTGTCTTCAAATCCTATAACCATTAAACAACATAGGAGAGTCACACTTGAAATAAAGAATTTAGAGCACTGTATGTTTAACAAAGCAAGCACACCATAGGACCATTGATTCCCAGTTAAAAAAGTAGTTAACAAGAGTTTCTGGCAGTAGGTAGCAGTCCACCAAGAAAAATTATTAAGGTATATTAACTAGATTGTTTATTATTTATAGCTTGTCTTTCAAAAGTGAAACTTACACTTGGGGATGTTACATAGAAAACAAGGAAGAGAATATACCTAGGTAGTATTCTATAAATGCTTTTGACTTACTCTGCAGACCCAATCATGGATCAACACATCATAATCAAAATATTAATCCTTTCTTCTGCCACGTGGACATA